CCATCCATCCATCCATCCATCCATCTATCCATCCATCCACCCATCCACCCATCCACCCATCCATCCACCCATCCATCCATCCATCCATCCACCCACCCCCCACCTGTCAATCATCTGCAGGGCCCCTCCTCCCACTGCACATCTCTGCACCTGACTCTGTCTGTGCCCATCTCCTGTCCATCTGTACTGTCATCTGCTTTCTGTCTCTGTGTCTGTGTCATGATCATGTGGAATGTGACATAATCTCTGCTCAGGTTCCCCTCCGTGTGTGTCTCCCTGTGGGTCCTCTGCTGTCTGTCACCGTCATCACCTGCCTGTCCCCTGTCTGCACTTCTGTCTCTCTCTCAACCCCATCATCTCTCTTTCCCTTGGGTGTCTCCAGCTGTCACACAGGTTGCCCATCATCAGTGACCTGCGTATCTGTCACCTACCTACCTGCCCGCCATCATTCTGGTCCCCTGAATCCTCCCCAGCCCCCTCCTACGACTTCCTGAGTGACCCCAGCCCAAGCCGTCCCCGCCCAGCACAACTCAGGACTCCCTGCTGCCCGAGGGTCAGCTCCCCCAGATCCGCAGCCCACTGTCCCTCCTGACCAATGCACTGAGGCCCGTGTGGCCTGAGAGGCTCCAGCCCCCAGGGTTTTCAACCCACTGGGGTCCCCAGGTCCTGAGTCCTGTTTCTGTTTGGGGGACCACCCACCCACATGAGGACGGACTTTTTTGTTTTAAACTGTGGTACTAGGGATGGAACCGAGGGGCTCCTTAGCACCGAGCCCCTGTTATTTCATTTCTCTGTAATGGATTTGAGCAGGTGCAGTGTGGGTATCAGTCTGTGCAGCTGCTGTAACAGGTTGGCTCAGCCGAGGGTCCCAGGAGCAAGAGAAATGGATCCTCCTCACCCTCCAAGGTGGAGGCTGGACCCAGGTCCCCAGCTGAGCTCCCTCCACAGCCTCCAGGGAGGCTCCTCCTGCCTCTTCAGCTCCTGGGCTCCAGGTGGCCCTGGGCGGGTGGCCCCTCACTGCAGTCTCTGCCTCCGTCTCCACGGGGCTCCTCCTCTGGGTCTGTGTCCCCTCCTCTGTCTCTTGGGAGGACACGGCCATGGCCTGAGGGCCCCCTGACCCAGGAGGAGCCCATCTCAGGACTCTGCACTAATGACCTCTGCAGAGACCCTGTTCCCACACCAGGTCCCACTCACAGGTTCTGGGGTCAAGATGTGCACAGGACCTGCCTCTTACAGTGGCGTCCCGATGCAGTTTCTCTGTGCAGAGTTGCTGAATCTGTGCTTCTGGAGCCTCTGATGACCGAGATCTAGCCGTACATTCCTTATTAAGCACATTCACATGTTTATATTTGCATCTTGCCGCTTTCCTACACAACAGCCAACTTTGTTTGGTGTGTTTGTCAGCTTTCCGTTACTATAACAAATACCTACAATGATTATAAAGAAAAAAGGTTTCTTTTTTTTTTTTCTTTTTTTTTTTTTTTTGGCTCATGGATTCAGAGGATCCCACCCATGAAGGGGCCTGGCCACAGACTCTATCTAACTGAATGTGCATATATCGGTACCAATAAAACTTTATTAGCAAAACCAGATTTGGGGGCCAGGACATGTCACCTTGCAAACCAGATCTCTGCTACCTGCAAGCGCCATCTAGAAAGTGCTGTTGGTTCACAGGACCTTCCCTGGGAGGCGGTGTCCTCTGCCGGGGACCTTCCCAGACAGATGGGCACCCCGCATTCTGTCCGAGAAAAGCCACCTGGACTGCATCGTCTCTTCACACACCATGATTTCCATGTGCAAAAAGTAAAATAAAATAAAATAACTAGACACTTCTTTTTCCTACAGGTTCCCCCCGTTTTTTGATGACAACCCCTTTGGCATCTATCAGAAAATTCTCGCAGGGAGGATAGATTTCCCGAGGTATTTGGATTTCAGCACAAAGTAAGTACCCAGCGCCCCACTCGGTACAGGGTGTTTCTTCTTATTTTTATTTATTTTTTAAAAATTTTGCTGGCAGGGATTGAGCTCAGGGGAAGTCCTAAGCAACTCAGGGAGACCCTGTCTCTAAATAAAATGCAAAATAAGGCTGGGGACGGGGCTCAGGGATTGAGGGGCCTTAGGTCCAAACCTCAGCACTAAAAAAATAAGAGAAGAATAAAAATAAGGACCTAGAGGCCAATGGACGCAGAGTTTTCAAGGTTTTAAATACTTCTCCAGGTTGTCAATCATGTCTTGAGAGCATCTGAGACCTACAGCACACAAGTGCTCTATGAGATCAGCCTGTGGTCTCAGGTTCTGAAACCAGAGAGGGCTCCCGTGGTTCCTGAGGGTGCACAGCATTACCATCCCCCAGTGTCTCTGATCTTCTGCCACTGACATTTCCCAGCAGTAGGGACAGGTGCGATTTGCAGCCTAGACCCGGAAGCCTTCTGGGCTTTGGAGAGCAGAGACTTCTCTTCTGACCTAGTCCCAGTGTCCTAGCTAATGTTAGAAGATTGCACAGTCTCCACCGTGTGCAACAGTCCTGGGGGAACTTCTGTCATACCTGAAATACATGGATATCATTAGGCGCATGAAGAATGGACAATGGTGACAAATTTTGCCAGAGAATGGGGTCCCCATGATCATGTGCTTGAGGTAGCTGCTCTCTCTGTGACCCTAAGATGGTGCGTGTTGACTGATTCTGTTTTCTGTTCCCCAAACAGAGACCTCATTAAGAAATTGCTGGTGGTGGACAGGACCAAGCGCCTGGGCAACATGAAGGTCCGTACCTCCCTCACGAATGGGCACCCACCAAGGCCCAGGACACGCCATCGCGACTTTCCTGTCATTATTCATCTTTTTGACATCCTGGTCCAGTTGATGGGAAGAGAATCCAAAACCCATTGAACGTACCCATTGATCCAGTTCCGTGTGCCCATTTTTCCCCTAGAATCAGGGGAACCACTGACCCCAACCTCAGCCATTTAATTCATTGATTATTATTTATTTATTACTTTTTATAAATTTTGAGATTGACGAGGTCTTGCTAAGCTCCTGAGGCCGGCCTCTAACTTACGCTCCTCCTGCCTCAGCCTCCCGAGTCGCTGGGATGACAAGCGTCCACCATTGTGCCTGGACTCCACTATTCCCAATTAGGAGCAGCCTTTAGATCCACTTTAGGAACATCTGAACAGAGGTGCCACATCACCCTGCTGCATGATCTCTGATCATTCTTTTCATTAAGCAATTGCACACCTGATTTTTTTTTTTTTTTTTTTTTACTTTAGTTGGTAGCATCTCCCTGTTCTGGCCCTTTGAATGTGTGGACGTGTAGAAAGAAAGCGTCACCTTTTGGGTCTTATTCTGTTTTATTGCAATGTTCTCCTGATTTTTGCCTCATGCTTACTTATCCCAGTATGTCTTCCTTATTCATGGCTGAGTACTATTCCACAGTCTCGATGGACAGCAGTGTTTTGGTCCATGGATGTTTCTGCCGTGACCACCTCTTAGCAACTATGAGCAGGGCCGTGATAGACGTGGATATTTGTGTGAATTAATCGTTGCATTAAAACTCACATGCTGGTTTTATTTTTAATTTTTTAAATTTTTTTGAGAAAGAGACTCCTTTGTTCACTACACCTTGAGGTCCCCAACAATTCTTCCATATTTTTTTTTTGTTTGGTACCAGGGATTGAACTCAGGGTCACCCGACCCCTGAGCCCCGTCCCCAGCCCTATTTAGGATTTTATTTAGAGACAGGGTCTCCCTGAGCGGCTCAGGGCCTCGCTGTGTCTTTTACTCTCTGGATAATGAGGTGTGTGTGTTTGCACACTTGACACACTGACGGTGCCCCTTTCTCCTGCAGAACGGCGCCAATGACGTCAAGCAGCACCGGTGGTTCCGCGCTGTGGACTGGGACGCTGTCCCCCAGAGGAAGCTGAAGGTGACTCTCTTTTGAACATTCCTTACAGAACGCAGTGATCCCAACCTCTGTAAAACCACTCTGTTGGTTTCTGGTTGACTATTCCAGATCCCTCACATGAGAGAGAACACGGGGCACTTGTCTTTCCATGGCTGGCTCATGTCCCTTAATAGAATGCCCTCCGGTTCCTTGCTTTTTCCTGCAAGCGACATCATTCCATTCTTCTTTCTGGCTGCATAATATTCCATTGTGCATATGTACTGCATTTTTTTTATGCATTCATCCCTGGCTGGAATCCAGGGGTGCTTAACCCCTGAGCCCCATCCCCAGCCCTATTTTGTATTTTATTTAGAGACAGGGTCTCCCCTGAGCAGCTTAGGGCCTGGCTTTAGTTCCCAGCCGTCTGTGTCCATGAACATTGGAAACCCGACTCTGCTGTCCATGAACATTGGAAACCTGTCCATCTTATTCACTTCTGTTCCCACTTCTATGTAAAATAGCAGAAAGGGAAAAGAGAAATGATACACACAGTGTCCCCTTGTCCCCGTACCTAACTGTGGCTGACCTCCCGCAGCCCCCCATCGTGCCCAAGTTAGGCAGCGATGGCGACACCTCCAACTTTGAGACGTACTCTGAGAACGACTGTGAGACGACTTCCCCGGTGTCGGAAAAAGACTTGGAAATCTTCAAGAACTTCTGAGGATAGGAACGCACACTTCCGGAAGGTGGGTCTTTATTTTTGGGGGTAAATCAGCCTTTATCCAATGGGGGGGCTTACCTCTGTCATCCGCCGGGACTCAAGCAAAGAAGCCAAGCCAGACTGGGTCTCCCTCGTGTGACACATCACCCTCTGAGATTTCGGGGACCACCCATCTGAAAAGGTAAAAAGGAAAATTCTAGAAAATGACAATTTATAAATTATCACTTTTTTTTTTTTTTTTTTTAAATTGCACCCTGTTTGGCTCATGTGACAAAAATCTCAGGACCGACTTCCTGGAATGTGAAAAATCTCTTTGTCCCATGTATCCACCCTGTATATGCTACCTGCCCGTTAGTCACTTAGCAGCCATATTGGTTTTCAGATGGACAGAAATGAACATTTGCATCATTCCCCGACTTTTTCTTACAGGGTAGGCATCTTATCAGCCCAAGAAGTCGGGACAGCACCGTCCAGTAGGGTATTTTAGGAAAAAAAGAGACCACAGGAATAAAACTTCCATTGGGGTGCATTATCGTGAATGTTCTATTTGGAATATGTTCGTTTGACGGTGTATTTTATTAGTCATGGTCAGTCTCTTACTGTGCCTGATTTATAAATCAAACTTTCTCATAGGTACGTGTATATGGGGAAAAACGTAGTGCACCTAGGGTTTGGCCCTCACTCTGTGGGTTTAGGGAATGGGTGTCTCCGCTGGCTAATTGGGGATCATCAAAATGATAACTGAGGCAGAGCGTTTGGCTCAGGACTGTGTGACCCCCAGGATCACAGGATTCAGTCAGGATTTTTTGCTGCTGTGACCAAAAACCCTTGAAAAGAACAATTAAAGGAGGAAGAGTCTCTCTGGGGCTCACGGTGTCCAAGGTCCAGTCCCTGGTGGCCGACGCCATGGCTCTGGCCCAAGGGGAGCAGAACAAGATGGCGGCAGGGCCTGGAGGAGGAGAGCAGCTCAGGACAGGGCACCAGGGAGCAGAGAGAGCTCTGCTCACCAGGGACAGGACAGAGATCCCCAAGGCACAGTCCAGGGACCTCATTGTCCTCCAGCCACACCCATCCTGCCTGTAATCACCACCCAGTGAGTCCATCCAAGTGGATTAATCCACTATTAGGTTACACCATGGAGCAGAGAGAGCTCTGCTCACCAGGGACATGACATACACCCCAAAGACATAGCCCTGGGACCCCCTCCTCCAGCCACACCCCACCTGCTGCAGCCAGCACCCAGTGAGTCCATCCAAGTGGATTAATCCACTATTAGGTTACACTAGGAAGTAGAGAGAGCTCTGTCCACCAGGGACAGGACAGAGACCCCAAAGGCACAGCCCAGGGACCCCCTCCTCCAGCCACACCCCACCTGCTGCAGCCACCACCCAGTGAGTCCATCCAAGTGGATTAATCCACTATTAGTCTACACCATGGAGCAGAGAGAGCTCTGCTCACCAGGGACAGGACAGACACCCCAAAGACATAGCCCTGGGACCCCCTCCTCCAGCCACACCCCATCTGCTGCAGTCTCCACCCACTGAGTTCATCCAAGTGGATTAATCCACTTATTAGTCTACACCCAGTGAGCCCATCCAAGTGGATTAATCCACTGATTAGGTTTTAACTCTCATAACCCAATCATTTCACCTATGAATACTGTCTCCCAGAGGAGCTGTTGGGGGACACCCTGTATTCAAACCATAACAGCTCCTTTGAGTCCCTTTCCTCTGTGTGTGTGCGTGTGTTAAAGTACGACTACCCCATATGGAATTCTTGAGGTTTTTCTGAGATGGCCCCCAAATGATCTCTAATCTGTTTCATTGAGCTTCTAAAGGTCATTGTTTTTTCCTTTTTCTTTTTAAATATCAATCATTGCTCATACATACGGGATTATGTTCCGTGACTGGCGTTTGGTGCTCAACTTCAGAAAGTGCCGAACCCTAAGTAAGGCAGATCAGTTACAGCATGATACTGTAGTAATATGGCCTGTGTCACCATCAAATTTGGGACCCCTATTAACTAAAACGAGGGTCACTTGCACTGTCGTACCACCGTGACGTCCAGTCTGGTCATCAGGAAAGTTACGAGGTAACTAAAGGGAGGGTAGCACATACAGCGTGGAAACACTGGGCGGAGTTGCTATTCCAAGGTGGAACACCAGAGGGCGCTGCCCAGATTGGCACATGATGATTTGAACGTTTTTTCTGTGGAATTTTCCACTGCTACCTTTGCACCACAGTAACTGAAACCGGACGGAGGACTTGGGGCCCCTGCCTTGTTACCTAAGAAAAGGAGACGTTTCTATGATTCTCAAGACGATAACTAGGAGTCGTGTCCAGCTGTCTTGAAACCCTAATTCAATCCCTTGTCCCTCTGCTGCCAGGAACACGTCAGCCTGCCCAGGACCAAGAACTGCACCTCCGTCAGCCCCGAAGAAATGCTCTCTTGGTGCGAGGAGGACTTTGTGCACTTATGGACGCCCAACTGTATACAAAGGTCGGGGGGCAGTTGAGATTTCACGGACGGGGCAATTATGGAAGCGACTGGAACCTTCTCCTGCGCCGCAGGAAACGGGTTGTGGGGGTTTTTAATCGTAACCTGTTAGCAGCTGTGCTTCTACTGTGCAGTTGGGTGGTTTTCTTGGACTCGAGAACTTGCAACCAGACCCGCAGGCTCGTAACCACAGGTTGTGCGTGCCTGAGTGTGTGCGTGAGTGTGTGCGTGCGTGTGTGCCCGCGTGTAAGGGCTTCTCCTTGGCCAAGCCTATTCTTTTCAGCTTTTAAAAATCCTTTGAAAAACAAATGGGTCGCCTCGGAGACAAAGCTCAAGTCTATGACGGATGCATTTTAAAAAAAAAAAAAAATCCCCTTAATTCCGTCTATGCATTTTATAGATATTTATGGAGTTTTTTCTTCCAAATCGAATGGGACTTTCTCTCTGGATGCTTTAGACTTTGGAAATGCAAAACGGAGAGGGTGCGGATTGGAGCAGCCGGAGATATGTTAAAGTTTTGGAATGCAATCTCGATTTTCCTTTTTTTTTTTTTTTTTAAATGCCTTTGGGGGATTGAACCCGCTGTGCCTGAGCTCCACGCTCGGCCCCCATCTCTGAACGGTTCATCAGAGAAGGTTCCGGACTTAGAAGATAATGTCTCCTCCCTGGCCTTTGCCTCCCAGACTCAATCTATTGATTCATTTAATAATTAATCTGTTAGAAATAAATCAGCCAGAGCTGCCTGTGTACCTGGAGTGTCCCCTGTGAACCCGGTAACAAATGGCACCTGGTCACATGAGTCCTGGGGACTCCCTCATTTTTTGTGCCAGGGATTCAACTCAGGGGTGCTAAACCACAGAGCCCCGTCCCCAGCCCTAGTTTGCATTTTATTTAGAGACAGGGTCTCCCTGAGTGGCTTACGGCCTCCCTTTGGCTGAGGCTGCCTTTGAACTCACGATCCTCCTGCCTCAGCCTCCCGAGCCTCTGGGACGACAGGTGGGTGCTTCCGCACCTGTCTAGGTTTTTATTTTATTTATTTTTTTATCCACTCATTTAATACTGGGAAAAAAAAAAAATCCAATGTGCAGGATCCATGAGATTGCAGTCAGCGCCCCCAACGATGCAGAGCAAGTTAGACACTAAGAGGAAATCCAGCAGCAGGGGACGCTGTTACCGCCAACGTTGACAGAAGCCCGAGGGGCACGTGCCTTGTCTAAGGACCGGGGTAGAGACCCATGTCGTTGACCCCAGTGACGCGCACGGAACCCCTGCTTCATCTCATCCCCAAAGAGCTGACTCGGTGGGGGATTTCTCTTTGCAAAATTTCCCCATGGGCATCCGACCTCATCCGGGTGCCGAGAGTCAAAATGAAACCCGTGCAACTTTGTGTCTGCAGAAGGCCCAGGGGAGATGTTGCTTTTTATTTATTTATTTTTCTTTTGTGATTTATGAACTGGCAGGATCAGGTGATCCCAACTCACTGTTTCAAAACGCCCCCCGGCGTCACCCACGTTGCCTGCAACCTTTGGGACCATTTCAACTGTGAAACCGGCTCAGGACTGTTCAGAGTGGACCCCAAGCCTTCACGGCCCAGGCGCCGGGGGGGGGGGGGGGGGGGCACCACACCCAGGACTTGCAGATGGGCCCCCTCCCCACAGCCCACGTCTGTCAAAGTCACTGGGTCGACAAAGTGCTTTTCCGAGCATGTCCACATTTTTTTTTTTCCTGTCGAATTTGCTTTTGCAAAAACCACTGAGTCTCGTGTCCTCCCGGGACCCTCCTCCCTGAGAACAGGAGGACGCCCTGTGTGTGTATTTTTTTTTTTTTTTTCTTAAATAAGTTTTCATGTTGTAAACTCTGTTCACCGTGCAGTTCGATCCTTTTGTGGAGGGGTCTGTTATTTAAGTTAAAAAAAAAAAAAAAATCACTCTACGACGTGCATTTAAACGGGTGGGATGGGAAGCCCTTCCGCAGGCCGATCTTGTCATTGGGATATTAATTTTATTTTTTTGCAATCCTGCACGACTTACAGCTTGAGTCTTTTTTTGTGTGTGTGTGTGAGTGTGTGCGCTGTGTCTTGTGCTCTGGGCACCTGTGCCCACCGCGTAGGTCCTCGGTGCACCCTTTGCAGATCTGGCGCGTGCACCCTGCAGGGCGCTGGATCCCAGATCCTCCTGAGGAATTCCAAAAGCCTGTTTCTCATCCCACCGATGCATTGCACAAAGGAAATCACTGTGATTTGTGTGTGTGTAAATATATATATATATATATAGGCCCTAGGAAAATTTTACCGCTAATTTATGGAATAATACTATGGATTCCAGGTTTTGTTTGATAATAATAATAAAAAAACTTTGTATCTTTTAAGAAATCTGAATCGGCTCCTCTGCTTCTGTCTGAGAAACCATGTTCTGTCGGTGCTGGGGTCGAATGAGGGGTCAGAAGCTGGTAACTGTTTTCATCTTGGCAAGACACAGTGGCTCTTTTGCGTAGGATGCACAAAGGAACCGTAGGTGGTTTGTAAAGGATGGTCCCAGCTAAGTTTTATTGACAGCTGCAGTTCAAAAAAAGCCCAAAGGACACAGCAACCCATTTGTGTCTGACTGAACAGATAAATACAGGGCGGTGTATCCATGCAATGGAATATTATGCAGCCTTCAAAAGGAAGATAATTTGGAAACTGGGTTCAGGATGGGTAAGCCCAAGGACCTCATGATCAGTGAAACCAGCCTCACACAAAAGGACAAGCCCTGCGTGAGTCCACTCATAGGGGGTCTGCAGAGTCATCCAGCTCAGACACAGAAACTAGAATTGGGTAGTTACAGGGGCTGGCAGAGGGAAAATACAGAATTAGGAGTTCCAGTTTTACAAGTTATAAATCTCTGGTAGGGACGGTCCCACGACAGTTAACAATATTCTTAAGCACAGTGGCCTAAGCACTTAAAAGTGATGAAGATGGGTGGGAACAGTGGTGCACCACTATAATCCCAGCGGCTCAGGAGGCTGAGGCAGGAGGATGACAAGTTGGAGGCCAGCCTCAGCAACTTAGCGAGGCCCTAAGCAAGTTGGTGAGACCCTGTCTCAAAAATGAAAAGGGCTGGGGATGGGGCTCAGTGGTTAAGCACCCCTGGGTCCAACCACCCCCCACCCCCTCAAAAAATAGAGAAATAAAAAAGAACAGGAAAAATGTTTAAAGATGCTATTCTTGATGACAATGAAACTTTGTAATTTAAAGAATGTGCCCATCTTCACCTTTATCTCTATGACCAAGTCTTTTTAAACAGTCAGGCAACAGAAAAAGTCAACGTGAACCAAATCGTGGGGACACATGGGAAGTCCCCAGTCTCAGCAGGGACCCCATAACCACGCCCCTTAACTGAGACCTTTGTGATCAGTCCCGTAACCACGCCCACTGTGGCCACGCCCCAGCATAATTAGACACATCTTAATCATATTCCACTGTAACCACGCCTTAACCATAACCACGTCCACTGAGGCCACGCCCCACCACGGCCACACCCACAGTGGCCACGCCTTCCTATAAACAGCCCCATCCTAATCATGTCTCACTGTAACCACGCCCCCACAGTGGCCACGCCCTCCTATAAACAGCCCCATCCTAATCATGTCTCACTGTAACCATGCCTTAACCATAACCACGCCCCAACGAGGCCACGCCCCCACCATGGCCACACCCACCATGGCCACGCCCTGCTATAAAC